TAGTGACAAATATTTCTCGCTTATTGATTAAGAACTTAAAGAAATAGGTGATAAAATTGCATATTGCATTTTAGGAAACCCCAAGTTAAGAATTATGGAGCTTGGATTTGTGTTGAATGTTATGCTGTTTGACTTATGATATGAACCTACTTTTTCTAGTCTCTATCTGGTAAATTGCACGAAGACACATTTATTTATTTCTATCTTCTTTTTGTACAACCAAATTGTGCACATCTATTTTTATAAATTTTTCAAATTACTTTGCATAGCAGAATGTATTTTGCAGGTGAACATTGTTTTTGGATTCTTATGATTTTTTTCTAATGATAGATTATTGGTTTTTATGGATGAGAGAAACTATTTTTTAAAAGGTTTACAGATATGCTTTTTAAAAGTTTTCAATTTTGGTGAAAACTTCGGAGCAAAACTTGGTGATGCATATTTTCTCTTCCAGTGTTCTTATTTCCACTTGCTAATTTGGCCTCTGGAAATATTCAGTTTGCACTGGGGAAAGAGCTGGAATGCAATCAAGTAGGACAGAACTCCTTGCTGTCATTCTGTATAACAGCATGTGATGTCAAGGTCACAGTGAAGAAAAACATTTCACATTAGCAACAGATGACTCAATTATCTTAATGTCCAAATAAAGTCATTTACGTTGCTCTCGGAATTCTGCTACCCCACCTTATTTTTAGTTATCTTCATTTATTGCTATAGAATTTTTACCCTCTACAAAGATTTATGGCTACTCATAACTCTAATACTTTAATAGCACATGCAAAAAGATGTTCAAGCATAATCAATGTACTCTATTACCATTAATTATTTGCAATAAGTCTAAAAGTACGCTAAATGTAACTTAATTGTTTTCTTTGATTCTTTAAGGTGGACTTGGAGATCATGGTGTATCAAAGAAACGAGGAGCCCTCTACCAGCTTATAGACAGGATCAGAAGAATCGGCTCTGGTATATCAATGTTTAAAGTTGCAGACGCTTGACTTGATGTACAGTAAATTATACTCATAGCAGTTCAGTTCATTGAAATCAGTATGCAGTATGATGCAAAGAATATGTGTTGAGGGTCTTTTATTCTTTTTTGTTCTGTTGGTTCATATCTGTTGGCTCATTCATTATATAGGAAATTTCAAAATGTTCCCTTAACTTATTTCAGGCTTTTCCCAAGTGAAAATTGATTTGGCGTTTGTTTATTTTATTGTTGATACTAATTTTCAGTTAATTGGACATCACACCAAAGTTTTTATATAAAGCATGGAGCTGATTCAATCTCAATTAAATGTTTTAAAAGTCATGAATATTTGTCTTGAAAAAATCTACTTAAAAGTTAACAAACTAATTTATTAGGTTGCAAAATAGTTTAAAATGTTTTGAATCTTTGGGAGAATATATGTAAACATTCATGAAAACTACCTTCTGGTTTCATGATTAGTATTTATAGTGTTTATTAGTCACTATTTGTAGTTAAGAGTTTGTAAAAGCCCTCTCCTCATAGCTCACATCCGAACATCCCTTAAGTTGGTCATTAAATACTTGAAGTACATACTTTAAGTTACTAATTTTCCCAAGCAAAGATGCTTTGCTCCAGAATATTGAAAAAAAAAAAGAAGACGTGTTAGAGACATTTAATGTATGTAATGTTAATGTGTGTACTAGTGGGAGAGCTTTATCAATTTTAGTATATGTGCTGCTGAAGCGAGCACAGTGGGAGAGCTTTTCTACCAATAGTAATTTGAATAAAGAGAATAATCAAGCAAATTTAAGAAAAACAAAACAGTAAAAAATATTATGAAAGGTACTAAGGAAAGTAAAAAAAAGTAAGTATAGGGAGTGGGCATTAAGCCCAGCTGTTAAGATGGCCACCTCCCATATCAGAGCGCCTGAGTTCAAGTCCAGCTTCCAATTCCAGCTTCCTGCTAATGTACATCTTGAGAGGGGCCAGGCGGATGAGGGCTCAAGTACTTGTGTCCTTGCTGCCCATGTTCTGAGCTCCTGGTTCCCAGCTTTGATGCTCATCCAGCTCTGGCTGTTGGCAGCATTTGGGGAGTCACCTAGTGGATGACAACCTATCTATCTGTGTCTGTCCCTTTTTGACTTTCTGTTTCTCAGATAAATAAATATTAAGAAAAGAGGAAACCTGTAGCCGTGAAAGCTGCTCCAGATTAGACGGTGTTTTATGTTAGCCTGTGTTGACCTCTAAATCGTGATGAGGAGGAGATTAAGATGGACAGAGTTCCTCGTCCCAACTGGACCCAGACTGTCTCTATCTTGATGTTATTTTACTGTCTATAAAATGTAATATTCATAATTTTAGGCTTTCATACAAATAGCAGTCTGATTTAAATATTGGAAGTTTAGCATGAGTAAGGCTAGTTTTGGGTATCATAGGATATTCAGGGTAGCAATATATATTTTATTACCTGTTTGTACATTGTTAGTGAACTACCAAGTTAGCAAACATCAACAATTTTTCTATGACCTAAGTTTTGTCTGGTGTAGGCTGTTGTCTGGAGATTCATCAAAACTCATCGATGGGATCTCAATAAATAATGTTTTGATGTGGATATTTCTACATTGTAATGCTCCTCTCAAGCATGTAATATCCCAAGTTTTTCTTTAATGTGCCTTGATTTATACATATGTAAATAAGACATTTCATCTTTTGTCCTTTAAGAGGTAAACGGTTCCCTGACCCAGGACGTCTGTTTCACAGAATGTTTTAAATGTCATTGCAGGCTTGGAGCAAAACAGCACAGTTAAGGGAAAAGTACCTCAAAAATTCTCAGGGCCAAATGAGAAAAACCGAGTTCCCAGAGCTGCCACATCAAGAACTGAGAGAATCTGGCCTGGAGGTGTTATTCCTTACGTTATTGGAGGCAACTTCACTGGTAAGTTATTCTCAGAATGTTTACTTTGATGGAGAAGTAAAAGCTGTCATACAGATTAAGTGTGCATGTTCGTAGGATATCGTCAAAAACAGAGTATGAAATCATACTTGTAAAAACACTCCGTTAACCTAGGTTATTAGTTTAAAATGTTTTTGAATTAAAAAATAAATTTAACCTTGTGCTCTAAGAGTGTAGAGTTCCATTTTTTTTAAGATTTATTTATTTATTTAAAAGGCAAAGTTAAGAGAGGCAGATGCAGACAGAGAGAGAGAGAGAGGTCTTCTATCCGCTGGTTCACTCCCAAGCTGGCAGCAATGGCTGGAGCTGTGCCGATCCGAAGCCAGGAGCCAGGACCTTCTTCACGGTCTCCCACGTGGGTGCAGGGGCCCAAGGATTTGGGCTATATTCTATTGCTTTCCCAGGCCATAGCAGAGCTGGATAGGAAATGGAGCAGCTGGGACCCGAACCAGCACCCATGTGGGATGCCAGCACTGCAGGTGGCAGCTTTACCTGTTACACCATAGTGCCGACCCCCCGATTTTGTTTTTAAACTGAATTTCAAATGTGCCCATGAAATCTGGAAGCTGATCTCCTTTCAACTGACAGGGAGAATGTATGTCCCATTTATAGAGACTTGTACACACATGTGCAGAGTGAAGGAGCCTTCATCTTCTGATTATAAAGGGAGTGCCCGTTTTCAACAAGGACTCGTTTGTGGTGCTATGAATCTGTAGTCGTTGGCTGATGATAGCAGTGGCATCTGTATATCACCAAGCCACACAGATCGGAGGAGCCAGCACACAGCACTCCTCTCTGGGGTGGTGGCCACTTTTATTAACATCGTTCAATTTTTCCAGGCAGCCAGCGAGCCATGTTCAAGCAGGCCATGAGACACTGGGAAAAGCACATGTGTGTGACTTTCATTGAAAGAAGTGACGAAGAAGTTATATTGTATTCACCTACAGGCCTTGTGGGTAAGTAGAGCCCGGAAATGACCTACGTAAGTTTAGCAGGAAAAAATTAAAACTCATGGGTAGGATTTGTTTTGTAATATGTGCTTTGTATTTTGGCCATGAAAGGTGTGATTTTTACATATGCAAATGTTACTCTTTGAGAGGACTTCAAAAATTTATGAAAAAGGAATTAAAATATCAATTCGTATAAAAATTCTGAAAGCTACACATGGAATTTTTAGAACAGACATTTCTCATGAACTTTCTGAAGACCCCACATCTAAACATATTGCTTGAAACAGATCTTTGTGCATCTGACCATGGTGTATTTGTCCACCACCTCAGCTGTTTTATGAAGATCAACTCACGGTTGATCTTTCTTGCTTTACCAATTCACTGCCACTAGAGTTATCTTCTGAAAATACTGGTCAGGGGCTGGTGTCTGGTGCAGCAATTGAGACATGGTTTTGACGCTCTCTGATTCCACCTTCCTGGTAACGCACACTCTAGGGGGCATCTGGCGATGGCTCAAGCAGCTGGGTCCTGCCAGCCTCATGGGCTACCTGGATTAGATTCCTGGCTCCCAGGTTTGGCCTGACCAAACTCTGGCTGCTGGAGGCATTTGAGGAGTGAACCAGTGGAGGGGAGATCTCTGTCTAATTCTCTCTGTGTCCATTCCTCTCTGCATTTCAGATAAATGCATGATTGAATGAATGAATGAATGAATGACTAAATACTGGCCAGAGCAAGTGCCACTTTCTGAGATTCATTGATGTTTCCACCTAGGGTGATATTTTCTAGATTGTTTTCTTACAGGATGATGAAAAATACTCCAAATAAAATCATTAAGTTTTGGAAGTGCTATGTTAAATTCCAGTAGGTATTTCTATAGCAGAGTGCTAATGAATGTTATTAATATTTAACTAACCGAAAGGAGTATGTTTGCTAAACTTATGTAAAATATGGAATATCCACCTCACCTTTTAAAAGAGAAGAACATACCTCAATATCCCAAGAACATTTTGGGAAATGCTGGGTTGAGAGTAAAATCCTGAGTCCTTGGTATAACATTTAAGGAACGCCACGAACTTACCACAGCTTCCATTTTCGGCTCCTTCTTCCTCCACATCTCTCCACATATCCCAGAATCCAACCAAGATACAGGACAAGCCGTTCTCCAAGTAATTTATGTTTTAGAAGACTTTTTCTCAAAAGAGTTTTCAAACTTCTCTTCCCAGCACTTTTAGTTATTTGGAAATTATATCGAAAGATTTGATTCACTCCAGCTTAATGTTTTGGCTTGTTTGCCAAGAATACTTGGTACTGGATTAATTTATATTGCATCCCCTCAGGAGGCAAGCGTGCCTGGGTCTGCCGTTCCAGTGACTGCTCTACTGGGTTTAGTGATTGCTCAGTTGAATGGAGTGTTGGTGGGCAGGTGCTTCCATTGTGAATGTCTCCAATATTACAAAACAGTGATTTTTTTAAAAAAATTATTTATATAAAGGGAACAGGTTTCAGGTGTTTCATTTATATAGTTTTAAGAACATGATGATAATTCCCACCTACCCTCCTCCTTCCTTTCTGATTTTTCTTTTGATTTTTGGTGATGCCATACTTTTGTTTTCCACTTTACTTTATAATCACAAGTTTAATCCTCCATTAAATAAAAAATTCATCAAGTAGCAAGTAGAAAGATCCCTGTTTCTCAGGAGTATCGATAAGGGCTATAAGCAATAATCAAATATCAAGATGTCAATTTCACACTTAAAAATTGCCCTTTTTTATACTCTATATATTTGTTACCACAACTCAGAGAAAACATGATATTTGTTTTTTTTTCTCAAGGCTGGCTTATTTTACTAAGCACAATGCTTCCAGTTCCATCCATTTTGTTGTGAAAGACAGGTTTCATTCTTTTTTATGGCTCAGTAGTATTCAGTTGTGTATATATCCCATTTTCTTTATTCAATCATCAGCTGATGGCCATCTGGGTTGATTCCATATCTTAGTTATAAACAGGGGGTCACAGATCACTCTTGTATTTGCTGATTTCATTTCATTTTGGTAAATTCCCAGGAGTGGGATGGCTGGGTCATAAGGTAGTTCTGTTTTTAGCTTTCTGAGTAATCTCCATACTGTGTTCCATAATGGTACTAGTTTATATTCCCACCAACAGTATCCTAGGGTACCTTTCTCCCCATATCCTCACCAACATTTGTTACTTTTTACATTTACTTGCTGTGGATTCTAACTGGGGTGAGGCGAAACCTCATTGTGGTTTTGATTTTCATTTTCCTGATGGCTACCGATCCTGATGTCTATTGGCCATTTATATTTAATCCTTTGAAAAATGCCTGTTCATGTCCTTAGCCCATTTCTTAAGTGGATTGTTTGTTTTGTTGTTCAGTCTCTTGAACTCCTTACATATTCTGAATATTAATCCTTTAGCAATTTTAGTTTGAAAATATTTTCTCTCATTCTGTCAGTTGCCTCTTCATTTTGTTGAGTATTTCCTTTGTTGTCCAGGAACTTTTTAGCTTGGTGTAATCCCTATTGTCTCTTTTTGCTTTCCTTACCTGTACTTCTGGGGTCTTATCTAGGAAATCTTTGCTCATCCCAATGCCTTGCAGTTTTTCCTTTATGTTTTCCTTTAGTAGTTCAGTAGTTTCAGGTCTTAGGTTTAAATCCTTAATACATGAATTGATTTTTGTGTAGGGTAAAAGTAAAGATCTTCTTTCACACTTCTCTATGTGGAAATCCAATTTTCCCAACAGCATTTGTCAAAGAGACTGTCCTTTATCCAGAGCATGGTTTTAGTCCATTTATCAAAGATTAGTTCGTTGTGGATATGTGGATTAATTTCTAGAGTTTATATTCTGTTTCATTGGTACACATGTCTATGTTTGTGCCAATACCAGCTGTTTTGAATATAACTGCCCTGTAGAATGTCTTGGAAATCAGGTATAGTGATGCCTCCAGCTTTGTTTTTATTGTTTAAGATTGTTTAAGCTACTCAGGGTCTCTTGTGTTTCCATATGAATTTTAGGGTCATTTTTTCTAGATATGAGAAGAATTTCCTTGGTATTTTGATTGGTATCACACTAAATCTGCAAATTGCTTTGGGTAGTATGGATATTTTTGATCTTAATTCTTTCAATCAATGAACATGGAAGCTTTTTTTCCATTTTTTGGTTCTTCTATTTCTTTCCTTAATATTTTATAATTTTAATTGTAGAAATCTTTCATGTTATTGGTTAAATTTATCCCAAGGTACTTAAATATTTTTAGCTATTGTGAATGGGACTGATCTTACAAGCTTTTTCACCTATGTCATTGTTTCTGTATACAACAGCTACTGATTTTGTGTCTTGATTTTATATCCTGCAACCTTACCAGATACTCTTATGAGTTTGAGTAGTCTCTTAGTGGAGTCTTTTGGATTCCCTATGTATAGGTTCATGTCATCTGCAAATAGGGATAATTTGACTTTCTCCTCTCCCATTGGCATCCCTTTGATTTATTTTTCTGACTGTGGCTAAAACTTCTAGAACTATATTGCATACTAGTGAGAGTGAGCATCCTACTCTGGTTATGGATATTTGTGGAAATGCTTCCAGTTTTACCTCATTCAGTACAATGTTGGCTGGGGATTTGTCATATATTGCCTTGATTGCATTTAGGTATGTTCTTTCTATAACCAATTTCTTTGAGGTTTTTATCATGAAAAGATGTTGAATTTCATTAAGTACTTTCTCTGCATCTACTAAGATAATCATGATTTTATTCAATTTGTTCATGTAATATATCAAGTTTATTGATTTGCATATGTTGAATCATCATTGTTCTTTTATTCTTTCCACATTTATTATCTGAAATTCTTACACATAGATGAATTTTCTCTAATCTACCACAGTCATTTGAATACCCTATAGTGTAGTTCAGTTAGGCAAGTCAAAATAAATGCTTAGTTTTGCTAGAGAAAATAGTTATTGAGCTATTGACATGCACTTCTGGGAGGAAAAATACATCTTTTCAGTAGTTCTTAGAGAGGGGCATTGTGTTATTTCTGTACATTATATTTGCCTAGATCTCTTAACTTAAAAAGGTAATTATGTTAGTTTTTGACTTATTTAAGTGACAGTAAGAAAAAATTGTACATCAGTACCTTCATGGGTATTTTTGGATAGTGCCATAAATTTTTAGTTATGGCTTACTCAGCACTGAATCCTTCTAAGTCACTCTAATTTTGGCTTGAAAACTTTTGTTTACATCTGAAATTCTTCCTAGTTTTTTTCTATTGATTTAATATTTAAAAGGCCCAAATAGTGACTGTCCTTCTATCCTTCCAGTTATTTAATAAGAATGGTTGTGGGGACAGCGCCATGGCTCACTTGGTTAATCCTCTACCTGCGGGGCCGGCATCCCATATGGGCGCCGAGTTCTAGTCCTGGTTGCTCCTCTTCCAGTCCAGCTCTCTGCTGTGGCCAGGGAGTGCAGTGGAGGATGGCCCAAGTGCTTGGGCCCTGCATCCGCATGGGAGACCAGGAGGAAGCACCTGGCTCCTGGCTTCAGATCGGCGCAGCTCTGGCCGTAGCGGCCATTTTGGGGGCTGAACCAACAGAAAGAAGACCTTTCTCTCTGTCTCTCTGTCTCACTGTCTAACTCTGCCTGTCAAAAAAAAAAAAAAAAAAAAAAAAAAAAGAATGGTTGTAACTCAGCTTACATGTTTTTAAATACAAAATATATTCAGATCTATACATCTTTCTTCCCTCCCGCCTTCCCATTCTGAAAAATAAGCACATCCAAAGCACTGATAACTTACTCTGTTTTTTTTTTCACTCAGTTTTTGAGTGCAATAAATTCATTTTTGTACACATTTTCTTTGATTTGTTGTCAGAGTTCCTCAACACTTGTGATTTTTTTTTTTTTTTTGGACAGGCAGAGTGGACAGTGAGAGAGAGAGAGAGAACAGAGAGAAAGGTCTTCCTTTGCCGTTGGTTCACCCTCCAATGGCTGCC